ATGGTATGATGCTGTGATTCCCAAACTGTGCGCCGTGAAATATTGTAAAAGCTTCAATTTGAGAAAACGTGCAGTGATTTGCAGACACATCCATCACATTGATTATTAAATATTAATTTAATGTTAATAAAGTAAAAAAAAATAATGAAGATACACAAGTTTTATTTTTTGTTATCTCTTACTTACGAATAGTCATACTTAGGGTAGGGTGCCGTGGAAAAATTTTAATTGAAAAAGGGCGCCGCGACTAGGAAAAGTTTGGGAACCACTGGTTGACGGACGACAGCCCAGCCCGGATCCAGCCCGGAAACAAGGGAGGATACTTAGTTGACCGTATCAAACTGGGTGTCGTATTAAAGCCAAACCAGAATCAGTCGTCGTATGCTGGTGAGAATGACCTACGAAACTCTTTATCTTGCAGTTTCATCCGAAACGAAGGTCTGAATGTATAATTGTGTACTGAAATTAGCCAATTGTACCGTTGCTAGTGGGATAAAAGAGAAGAGCAGAAAGTCCTACATTTTTCGTTACCGTCCCTATCGAATTAGATCATTGGATAAACGAGAGTGAAAAGTGGTGTACATCATCAGTCTCTAAAGCAAATTAACTCGTAACTGTCTATTTCCCTTTGCTTTGCTAGCATGTGTGCACTGACTAATTAGGCTTCATTCACACTGTTCTCGACTATGGATTACCGTCTACATTCCCTGGCACATTCTCCTTCCTTCTCTGACACAAGGCCAACGCGTCCATCCTGTGAAGAGGAGCCGAGCATTTAGAGTCACTTGGATGGTGGCCTATTGGCTAACCCCGGGACCCCCCGCACCTCTGCGACTCACTTCATAAATAGTTGGCATGGCATTGGCCTGACATGTTTTCCAGCCGTGCCAACTCTTGCCCTGCGGCAAAGCAGTGAGACCACAGGCCGCTTCAGTTCCTGGCTGACTTGTTAACGCTATCGCATTGGCAACACTAGGCCTGACAACGAACGACCCTGTTAGGGCAAAATCCTCGGCCCTTCGTGAATGAAGAAGCATTTTAGGGGGTGATCATAATTAACAAGATCTCAACGAAACCGTTATTGCGAGATATAGTTGAAAAGTATAGATAAGCTGAATAGGTCTGAAATGGTGCGGCCATACAATGCAAAGGTTCCGCCTCGAATTAGTTACTTATTCCCTG